CAGTAGCTTTCTCTGACTTCCAGGACTTATTGTCTCTACTTTGAGCTTGCTGTGCTAAGTGCTTCCTCCCTCTCAGCTTGGTTTTGTAATTGCTGACATTAATGTCTGCCTCTCTCACTAGCCCCAGTGGAAGTTCTTGCTTACCATTATGTCCCTAGTGCCTGGAACCGCTGGTGCTGGGTCACAGTGAGTGCTTCTGGAAGTATTTGTGGAATGAACAAATGACTATGAATGGAATAAACCAACATGCCAGTGCTAAAACTTAATGAAAACTGTAAGCCTCAGAGGATAGAGCGGCACAAAACCAGTAATTCTAAAGCTTTTTTTAGCCCAACAAACCATACCCAAAATTATGGGTATGAGAATCAAGAAAAAGTGAGGGACCTAGAATATAAATACTCTGTTTACAAAGATCTTGTTAAAAGGCCAACAAATCAAGGAGTTAAAAAAAGGCACACAGAGGAGGTCGTTAGAATAAGATCTGCTCTCATGCTTTAAACTTTAAGACAATTTTATAAATTCTGAAGGAGGATATGTGAGGATGGAGGGATAAGCATGACTTCTGGCTTCGGTGATAAGAATAGTTTCAAGCAAAGAGGTCTGTATGTAAGCAAGAGAATTTTTTCTTCCCATGTCTGATACTCAGCCAAGTGACTTCTTAGTTTGAAGCAGAAAGAAAACATTTAAAGAACTTAAGGACCTGAAGTAGCCTGTGAAAAAAGAATTATAATTACAGAAATGACTACAAAAATTAATGAAGAGCAGATATAAAAGAGGTTACCAACAAGGGTTAAATTAGTAGTAGGAAGGGATATCAGGGTCCTGTGAGTGGATAGATAGGAGGCCTACAGAGGTGTTCTAGCAGTTAAGATGAGCAGCCTGAAAATATTAGAAGGCACTAAGAAAACCTTTTTTTCCCCTGACTATAGAAGTTCCCTTATTAAAACTTTCAGAAATACAAAAGAATATAAGTAACAATTGCCCATAGTTTCAGCACCCAGGGAAAACCACTATAAGTGTGTTTTTTTTTCCTTTTAGCCAAATTTTGTCTGTCTGTTACTGTACAACTTAAAGTGTGAGAATTTTAATGTACAACTCAATGGGTTTTTGTAGTATTCATATAAACATGACTCAGCTCAAGATGTAGAACATTTCTATCATTCCAGAAGGCTCCCTTTGTGCCTCTTCCAGTCAATATCCGTAGATTCCTTTTGGCTGTTCTCAAACCTCATATACATGGAATCTTACAGTGTGAAGTCTGTTGAATCTGGCTCCTTTTATTCATCATCATCTGTGAGATTCATCCACATGTAATATTTGTTCTTTGTTTCTTTCCTTTTCTTTCTTTTTTTTTTTTTTTTTTTTTTTGCTGGACAGTTTTCTGTTGTATATACCACAAGCTATCTGTTGTGCTGTGATGAGCATTTGGACAGTTCCCACTGTGGGGCTATTATAAATACAACTGCTTTGAATGTTCTTATGGACTCAGTACACTTTAGTCCACATCTGAGAGCAGACTTACGGGGTCATAAATACTGATATCAATAATATTTTTTCCATTGGGGCTGTTTAGTTTTTCCAGAGGAAAGTTCTTTACTGTATTCTCTTCAGGGTCAATGCCAGGCTACTAGGCATCTTGTAATTAAAAAATAATAACAACTTTGAAACATACCATTCTTTCCCGTGTGTCTACTTTGTTTGAGGTCTTATCTTACAGGACCACTTTCTGAAAGCATAGTTGCTGGTCTTCTCATTGTATGTCTGAATGCTAATCCTGGGACTTGGAGCTTGTCTGGAATGGGATCGCCACATTGCAGTGTTCAGTGCAGTCTATTAATGGATCTTGGCTGCTGCTTGATTTGAGCTTATTTGAGGCCCTAACTTATCTTTAATAGTACAACTTCCAGTTTACATTTGACCCTTGGTGTAACACCCTCTGGTATAGTAGGGTGTGTATTTCACCTGAGCAAATTTATAAAGGGAAAATGTTTATGGTGCAGAGTTCAGTATCATACCTTAAATTGAAAGCTCATTTGTGTTTTGATTATATTAAGTGTTTTGCACTAGACTGTATCAGTGTTAGCTAGCCTTTGTTTTGTTTTTGCTTTGGTTGGCTTCTGTACAAACTTGGGATTCCCAATTGATTAAGCAAAGTCGTGCTTTTCAAATGCCAGCCCCACGATCTTTGATCTCAGCACAGATGCTGTTTCTGTGGCTTTCCCTTTTACTGGAATTTTTTTAACTTGAAGGAAAATGAAGATAGATGCAGATTTTTATCCCTTTAAGATGACTGTGTGTCTTTAGAACACAGGGACAGAAGGAGGGGGCACGGTAGCTGGAGTGCCTGCGTGGTGTATGCTCTTTATAAGTGCCTCTTGGGATTTCCCCCCTAGACATGAAGTGATTCCTCAGGTAGAAGGAGAAAGGTACATCCCAGAAATGAGGGGGAAACATGATGGAGGGAGGAGAGAGGACACATACATTATTGAGGGTTCCAGGAAGAGAACAGCATGGGGATAATGGGGATAGATGTAAGTAGATAGATCAAGATGAGTCATGAAACATTGAAGTCTGAAGCTGTAATACTTTTATACGCTCTGTTCTTTTTTCCTTCTCACGGGTCGCTGTTCTCAGAACAATGTCTGCAGACTTTGGTCCGGACTTTGCTAGAGTGAGAATGATCATTACTACAGGGTCTTGTTGGACTAATCAAGATAAAATACTGTTTCAATGGGATTAGGCCCTTTCACAGGAGACCCCACTCCCCATATACTGAATTTCTGGAAAGCTTAGTTACGATGACTGTGTTCTTCTGTGACTTAAAAAGTAAATAATGGAATAGCCATTGGGGGGAAAGGGTCAATGAGACTGAGTTCTATTGCAAACAAGCGCTCACTAGGTTTTCCACAGCCTTCTTGGTAGAAGTCTTTGCATTAGGATAAGGCGAAAGCCGTTCCCAGGTCAGAGTGTGATGTCATGTTGGCAGAGAGCAGAGAAGGGAAAGAACTCTAGTTTTTTTCTGAATCCCTGTTAGGCCCCTGGAAAAATAAGAGCCTCTAAAATGAGGGACAGAATGCAGATGTCAAAATAGAGACTCTGGAGCCATTCTGCTTCCATATTATGAAGTTTGAATTTATAATCACCTCCTTCAAGTGACACACTCACCTCCTGCTGGGTTTAAGCCCCTGCTCCTATCTAGCTGTCTGTTTACCACTTTTCTAAAAATCACTCTCCCTATGTCTTCCTTGTTAGTCAGTTGCCCAAGGCATAGGTTTGAGCCTCACTTATCTCCGTACCTCACTACTTAGCACAGTGCCAGGCGGTCAGCACTGTATAACTGTACGCGTGCTTGAATGTCGCTCAGAGGAGTTCATTAGCCTACTATACTATTGGTTCCTAGACCTGGAAGTTCTGTAGAGGTCTAAAAGGTTAGGGTAGGTTTCAGCCTGTTTTCTTTATAAACTGTTATAAAGTCATCTGGAATCCCATTTCTTTTTTCTCTTGCTCTGCTTTTCTGAAGTGCCTGCTTCACCTTAAGGCTGGCTTCCTCAAGGCTCAGAAGCCCTGTCCTTGCCAGACTTAGTGTGTGCCGGAGTTCAGGGAAAAGGGAGGCTGGGAGTGTGTTCGGAGAGCGCCAAGCTCTTAATTTTCAAACCACTTCAGAACCGATCCCAGCGGCCGAGGGATGCCATGTGTGACTGGCTTAGTCCTGGATTCCTTGAACCAATCTTGATCACAAAGGGGAAAGGGTGACCTGGACTGGGTTAGGTAGCCCTGGTCTCACCCTGGAGCTGGTACGGAGGCAAGAATGGATGGATACCTGACTGGAAATGTGACCACTGTTGTGTAGGGGGATGTGATTGTGTGAGATTCATCCTGCCACTGTTGGACCTGCCAAGTCTACTGTTACTTGAATCCGGATTTTCTAGGGAACGTTTATAGTTATTTTGTTCTTTACATATGTGTAAAGTCCCTTACAAATTTATCGATTGTATGTTATGGAGAACAAGTAGTGAAATTATTAAATTTTGAGTATGAGAGTCTTCCTTCTGTTAACTTTTTAATTGGGGATAGAAGACCTCTGAATAGGTAAAAAGTTAAATATCAGTATTGCAGGTGGGTAACAGTGCAAGACAGTAAGATGACAGATAGCACGTTCATCCAGAATATGTACTTTGCATTCCCCAGTGATACTTTTAATCTGAAGTCCTTGGAATGTCAGGCACTGCAAGGGTTGCAGGGTTGATGGAGAGGAGATACGGCCCACCAGACTTCAAGCCCAGTCATGAGAATGGTTAACGAGCGTTTTGGGGGCTGGGAAGCAATGGCCTGTCTCACAGAAGCAAACCACCAAGAACAGGAACCTATACACACAAATGTGAGGGTTCCTGGTGAGCCCTCCAGGGTCCTGGGAGCCTGGATGGTCTGAGGAGATGCTCAGCATCCTGTGTGGAGAGCTCTGCCCTCAGTCCAGTGAAGCCTGGACACACCGTTCAACTGCTGAGAGCTGTGGGTCTTTGGTGGGTCATTGCCGAAGTGCTTCTTGTTAGAGGATCCAGTGTGGCCCAGCCCTGGTTGGGCTGGTTCAGCCTCCACTGGTCTGACTCAAGATTAGTGCCCTTAGACTTTCTGCCTTCTTCCTAGAGCTATGTATGCAGCCATATTTGTGGACATTTGAGAGAATTAAAAAAAAAAAATCCTATTCTTGTACCAGGCATCATGCTAAGCTCCAGGGTCATAGTGATGATCCAAAGGTGACCTGATCCCTGCTGTCACAGCCTATGCCTAGTGAGGAAGGCAGGCAGAAGGCATATAACCAGGTACATAAGCTAATTAGTCAATTGTGGGAATGGTGAGAAAGAAACAATGGGCAAAACTGAAGGTTTACAAGAGGTTTGAGATCCTTTAAGGGATTTTGTAAATTTATTCTTGGGTTGAAGTTTTTTTCCTAATGATTTCCATGGATTAGGTGAGAATAATTTTCATTGTTTGTCTCTTAGGTACATTCTGCAGGTCCCCGATGAACCCAGGGAACCCTCCACCGTATCCGGGCCCTGGTCCGACGGCCCCGTACCCACCTTATCCACAACAACCAATGGGACCAGAGGGCTACCCTCCAGGACCTATGGGGGGACCCTACCCACCTCCTCAGGGTTACCCCTACCAAGGATACCCACAGTATGGCTGGCAGGGCGGACCTCAGGAGCCTCCTAAAACCACAGGTACTGGGAGTTGGGTATGTGTATATGTGTATGTGGGTGTGCATGTGCACAGTCCCATGTCATCAAAGGAAATGTTTGCATGTTTTCTTTGGCAGAGAAGGCACGCTAGCCTTTGTGTGCTGTGGTTGACGTTCCCAAGGCTTGGTGACCGCTTAAGGTAGCTTCTAACTCCTGAGAAGGACTTCTTTCTCAGGAGGCCTGCATCCGTTCTTTCCACTTCCTCTATGTCTCTTATCCCTGTGGGGCTGATGACTTCCTGGTCGATGTGTTTTCTGATGGCCCCTTTTGGGGTACCGGTGGCGGAAAGTACTGATTGGGTTCTTGCCCTGACACCCAGTTTCGTATTTTAGATTTGGCCTGCTGGGATTATTTTCTCTCTTGGTTTGTTGACCTCCAAGTCATCCTCTTGTCCCTACTCTTGGGTTGATGTTCTTTGCTTAAATGTTTTCATAATTCTCATGGGGCGCCTGGGTGGCGCAGTCGGTTAAGCGTCCGACTTCAGCCAGGTCATGATCTCGCGGTCCGTGGGTTCGAGCCCCGCGTCGGGCTCTGGGCTGATGGCTCAGAGCCTGGAGCCTGTTTCCGATTCTGTGTCTCCCTCTCTCTCTGCCCCTCCCCCGTTCATGCTCTGTCTCTCTCTGTCCCAAAAATAAACGTTGAAAAAAATTAAAAAAAAAAATAATAAAAAAAATAAATGTTTTCATAATTCTCTTGAACTTGCTAGCTGAGTTTTCAGCAGGACTATGAGTCCTTGTGCGCTAGAACAGTGCTACTCAAAGCTGACTCTGCAGATAAGTGCCAGTCTGTGAATGTGATAAGTACAGAAAGTACGAGTAAACAGAAGAACTTGTAGAGTAATTTGACATTGCTGTGACATTCAAGCAGGTGATCTTGCATTTTACAATACGTCTCAATCTGTGGTGGATTAGAATGGACACGTCTTGAGAAGCACTGTGCTAGATGTCTTGGTGACTGTCAGAACTGTTGTATGACCTTCTGGTTTGCTCTTTTACAGTGCCTTCAGCTTTTTAGATTAGCTAATTCTTAATGAGTGCTTGTGTGCCAAGTGGTCTCTTAAGAGCTTTATGTACATTAACATTTAATTCTTGGAACAATCTTATGAGGTTGTTCCCATTTTACAGTGAAGCCATTGAGTCACAGAGTGGCATACGGACTTGGCCAGCTAGAAGGGGCAGATTCCAGATTCGAATCCTGATGGTTTGGCTTTGGAATCTGTGCCTATAACTTTTTTCTCCAGCTGGATGATTTTAGATTTATCTATAACTGCAGGTACATCCTTCAGCTGAAGTGAAAGTGTGTAGTCCATTCTGTCAACAGCTTCTGTGTAGAAACTGTTTCTGATTCAAAGGAGGGAGGTCTTCTTAGTTATTCTTAATCTGTGTCTGGTAATCAGTAAGGACTTAATAAAGGTGTGTTGAATGGGTAGGTAGCTGGGTAGATAGCTAAGCAGAATCTAAGTCTGTTTATGGTTCAGAATTTTGTTTTTTGTTTTTTGTTTGTTTTACAGTAGAAATTGTAGTAAAAATATCTTTTGTTTTTCTTTGTTGGGAAACCAGTTTTTTGAAAACCATGTGATTGGAGGTGACAGGTGCTTGTGGGAATGAGGCTTACCAAGGAGTATACTTGCAATACATTTGGGGTCTCCTGGGATGATATTTAATGGTAACAACTGTAACAACTAGTATTTCTGAAGCCTAGTACCTAGTACTGGCCTCATGTAACTTTCACAAGAGCCCTATAGCTTTGGTCCCATGTTACAGAGGTAGAATCTGAGGCTTGGAGAGGTTGTGTGTCAGTTATCCCTCATATAACATACCACCCCAAAACTCAGTGGCTTAAAACAACAATGACTTATTCTCATGATTCTGTGAGTTGGCTTCCTATGATCTCTCCTGGGGTCACTTAATTCAGCTGTCAGCCTGGTTGGGGCTGGTATGTCCCAGATGCCTTCATTCACATGAGTAGGGCCCTGGTTTACTTCCACGAGGCCCCTCTCTACCTGTTGTCTCTCATCTACCCTGGCTTGTTTGCATGGTGGTTAGCTTCTAAGGGGGTGAGTGTACGATCTTGCCAGCCTTTTCATGTCTAGGCCCAGAAGTGGTCCACCATCACTTACCCATATTCTTTTGTTCAAAGCAAGTCACAAGGCTGGCTGGATTCGATAGGAGGGGAAATAGATGTCATCGATACCCTGCCCCCCGCCCCCCCGATTTGGTAACAACTTTATTGAGAGATATAGTCGGGAGTTGTATGACCATCACCGCTAATTCCAGAACATTTCATCACCCCAAAGAAAGCCATATCCTTTAGCAATCACTCCCATTTCCTTAACCTTCCCCCTCCATACATCTATTTTATCTCTGTAGATTTGTCTGTTCTGGACATTTCTTATAAAATGAATCCTATAATATGGCCTTTTATGACTGGCTCTTTCACTTAGTGTAACGTGTTAAAGGCTCCTCCGCTTGTGTCAGTACTCCATTCTTTGTGTTGCCAAATAACACCCCATTGTCTGGATATATCACATTTTCTTTATCCATTCATGCTTGGGTTTCTACTGTTTGTGATGAATAGTAAGTCATGGCTATTATAAACATTCATGTAAATTAAACTCTGTCTCAGGAGGAACAGCATGTGAATGTAGAGCAGGAGGAATTGTTGGTGACCATCTTGGCAGACGGTTTACCGCTTTCCACTCTGTACCCAGCAGTTTACGTCTTCCCCAGCCCTCCCCATGTACAAAATACATCCATCCCTTCCAAGACCAGCAGGTGGCTCATCAGTCATTACATCCACTTCAAGTCAAGGGTGTCATCATCTGCTATCTGTAAGTAGACGGGGCCTCTCACCTGCCACGCTGCTCCTGTGACTGCCCACCCTGCATTTCTGCTCTGCCCCAGCCTGCACACCTCAGAGGTGAAACAAAATGTCACTCCTCTATGAAGCTTCCCCTTTGGTATCCCACCTCTATGGTAGAAGTAACCAATCCCATGTGCTTCAGCTGCAGCCTATACAGACTTCTTTCAGAGCACCTCCTCTCTGAATTAAGTTAATTATTGTGTTCTTCTAGTTTATGTCCTTAATGTCTGAATTCAGTCAACTTAGCTGGTGCTGTCTTAGTGCAGGCTTTCAGCATTTGTGTTACGTTTCACCAAGGTTCTTAAGACTGCAAGTGACAGCATCTCAGCCTTAAAAATTAACCAACAGTAGAGCGTTGCCAGAGACCTGAGTAGAGGCTGCAAAATGACAGATAGTGACCAACACAGACACAAAAAAGGGACTCTGAGAGGACAGGGATGACACAAGGAACAAAAAACCTGTGAGAAAAAGGGGGGAAAATATCTCTAATAGCCTTAGATATGTGGGAAGATAAATCTTAATGAAATAAGAGCAGGGATGCTATATAAAAAGGAACTCAGGAAACAAAAGCATTTAGCCAAGAAGACTGTGAAACCAACCTCAGCCCAAGGAATAGGTCCAAAAGACTCATTCAGATAGCTAGATCTTGCCAAACCAGAATTGAAGGCTTTTTGCCACAGGTGAAAGGTTGACATAGTGCTATGTAACAACCACCCCAAGTTAGAGATTCTGTAATTTGGAAAGGGCTTGGTTGGAAATCCCTGCTCCCCATGGCATCTCCTGGGGCTGGAACATAGATGATAATCGAGGCCCTTGGTTGGCTATGAGATTTATGAACTCTCCTCTTGGCTCTATACAGCATGCCTAAAGGGGTGCTCTTGGGTTGGCTTGCATCTGCAGTACAGAGAAGCCGTGTGGTTTTGTAGAAGCTTCAGAAGGGAGAGGGTTGTGGGAGCGTGATGGCAATCTGACTGCAGTCAGAGGGGGAGTCAGAAGATACCCACACTTAGACGCTACTGTCTTTACGTGTGTTCCTAACCAGTGCACTTCTTCACTCCTATGGGCTTTGTTTCACACTCTTATTTCCCTTGAAAGTTTCATTTAAGTTCAGCCATATTCTGTCAACTGTTGCTGTTTTGGTGAAATCTTGTACTTCCGGTTCCTTATAACAAATAATTGCTCTTCCAAATACCAAAAAAACCCCACAGAACCCCGCATCTGATGTCTCTCTTTCCCTCTTTTCCTCCACTTGGCCCCTCAGTGGGACTAAGTTGGGCATCCTGACAACACAGTGGCCTCAGGAAGTAGGACTCCTTCAGTGTCCGTGGGCAAAAAAAGAAAAAAAGGAAACAGACTTTAGTTAATTTCTAGTTTTGAAACAGTTGAGGACTTAAAAAAAGGATGCAGAAATAGTACAAATGATTTCACCCAGATTTCCCCAAACCTTACATCACTACCATGTAACGATCCTTCCCAGGCCCGGAAGACTCACAACAGCACTTGGATCCCGCTCCATGGCCCAAGCAGCCGTGGGTCTGTGTAGGTGGGATTCAAGGGGGGTGAGACAGAGTTCAGTGCTTGGGAGGACAGTGGCAAAGCCACACTGCAGAATGGCATATGTGTTGGGGGACCTTTGCAAGCCCTACAGCAAGTCCCAGTGGTGATAGGTAGACTCCAGTGAGGCAGTCTAACTAACAAAACTGCTGGTAGGCTCTTGTTGACCGTGCCATAGTTACAGAATTGTTCAAAGTGAAAATTTAAACAAAACAATATCTCCAGTCTTAGAAAATCGATTTAAGGAAGATTTCTGTGAATTGGTGAGAAAGTCGTGAAAGAAGACATTTTAAAATGCTGCCACCAAAATCAAAATGACACCCCCTAAGATACCTCAGATCATCAGCAGTGGAGGTCCTCAGGTGCTCGCCCGGTTACTCACCTTCCAAGCTCATGGCAGACCTTGGAGTCTCATGTGGTCCTTTCTGCTTAGCCCTAATGTGACCTCACAATCCTCCTTACCACAGTGTCCTAGGCAGTGGCTGTGAATAGGCTTGAATCCAGTTGAATTGGATGAGATGAAGCCTCTTAACCATTCCTTGTGAGCTAACCTCCTCCTTTTAGAG